GGACACCAGGCCAGCTCCCCAGTTCTCTTCAGTTTTAGGCATGGTCTCAAACTGCTTTCATTCCAGCAGAGGATTCTTCATAAAGCCTCTACCATTCAAATGGTCATTTGGGGTCTTCTAAGCTCACTTTTCAATGTTCAGCTATTCCCCCTTGTAAGGGGGAAGAGGAGAGAAAAGCAGTCAGTACCCTGGCCTCACAGTCAGGTCTTCCCCACTCTAATCTTATCCATAGTCCACCATTTCCATGTGAATCGCCCTTTGTTCCGGAAGCTAGTGCTACAAACTGGCTTGTTTGCTTCTCTTTTGCAGACATATCAATGTCATCTTTTAAACAGGTCCTCCATTTGAAGCATGCTTTGCAGCTGCAGAGGCACAGGGTCTTCTTGTTCCAATACTGTTTCATCATTCCCTTAACCTTAGTGTGGAGTCTGTAATCCCCATCATAAAGCAAAATAGTATGCATAAATTTAGTTCAATAGAATTGTATTCATTTTACATTACATAATGCAGTTCACAGCAACAGAATTTCTTCACAAGTTTGGAGAAAACCACTTTCCTCATCAGACAAGTTTGTACATGTCTTGTTTTCAAAAAAGATTTAAAAGTAGATAATAGCTAGCATTGATTGGTCCACTTTTTATATAGCGCAGGATTAATCGATTGTTACAGAAAAATATGCATGCCTTGGATTTCTACTAAAATGGATTCATATAGCTTTCTAAATTAATTATCTTCTTCCTTTAATAATCTTCAGCATCACCAGCACAGATGGCAAGTAAAGCTGTCTCATAATGTCCTGAAGCAAAATGCTGCAAAGGAAAGAATTTTTTTTGTGATAATTTTCCTCTTCCATTTCCCTACCACTCCATCTCTCAGAAAACCATTTTTGTGCATTAGAGACTAGAGGACATTTGAAAAGTTTGCACAGGACTATCAATGCTTCATAAAGATTCTAGGCAAGGGTGGGCAATAATTTTTGGCCAGGCCAGAAGGGATGGGGCCTAATCCGGAAGGGGTGAGGCCAGAATTCTTCTGGGCTTTCCCACCCCCAGACCATAATCGGTCAGCTGCTGCTGACCCCTGCTACCTCCCAGCTACAGAGGGCAGAACTCTTTGCTGTACTGCCAACTCCTCTGCCACATGGGGCTCCCAGCTGAGTCATTGCTTCCATCCCCACAATGCTTCTGCCCCATGGTTCAACCTCTCTATATCTGGGCTCTGTGGTCCAGGAACATCCCTGGTAATGCTGGACCATGGATGTTGCCTGACCAGAGAGTCCCAATTAAGGGAGGTACAACCTGCAGTATATTTCAGTTTACTTAATACAAATATCATAATGCAATAATTGTGAAACTGAACTTACAAATGTAGGTTATTTTGTTACATAACTGCACTTGAAACCAAAACAATGTACAACTTTAGAGTCTACAAGTCCACTCAGTCCTACTTCCTGGTTAGCTAGTCACAAAGACAAACAAGTACATTTACAGGAGATACTGCTGCTAGCTTCTTATTTACAATGCCACCTGAAAGTAAGAACAGGCGTTCACATGCATTTTTGTAGACAGCGTTGCAAGGTATTTACATGCCAAATATGCTAAACATTTGTTTGCCCTTTCATGTTCCATAGGACATGCTTCCATGCTGATGACCCTAATTAAAAAAAGTGTTAATTAAATTTTGACTGAACTTATTGGGGGAGAGTAGTATGTCTCCTGCTCTGTATTACAGCATGCTAGCATATATTTTGTGCTGTGGCAGTCTTTGATGATGACCCAGCACATGTTGTTTGATTTAAGAACTCTTTCACTTCAGATTTCATAAAATGCAGAGAAGGTACCAATGTGAGATTTCTAAAGCTAGTTACAGCACCTGACCCAAGGTTTAACAAACTGAAGTGCCTTCCAAAATCTAAGAAGGATAAAGTGTGGAGCATGCTTTCAGACGTTTTAAACTACAGAATACGAACCACCAAAATAGAAAATCTGACTCAGCTGTTAAGTGAATATGCTACAAGCATGAAAGTCTGCACAGATTTGGATCATTATTGGGCAGAACTCTCATCAACATGGATGCATGTCCTCTAGAACGGTGGCTGAACCATGAAGAGACCTCTGAATCTTTAGCACATCTGCCGTGTAAATATTTGCAACACCAGCTACAGCATTGTCATACAAATGTCTGTTTTCACTTTTAGGTGACATTGTAAGCAAGAAGCAGGCAGCATTATCTCCAGCAAAGATAAACAAACTTGTTTGTCTGAGTGTCTGGCTAAACAAGCACTAGATGTGAGTGGTCTTTTAAGCTCTAAAGTTTCACATTGTTGTAGTTTTTTTAATGCAGTTTCTTTTCTACCTAATTCTACATTTGTAAGTTCAACTTTACTGATAAAGAGATTGCCTTTCAGTACTGGTATGAGGAGATTTGAGCAATACTACATCTTTTGGTTTTTACAGCACAAATATTTGTAATCTTATAAATATTTCTGAAAGTTTGTTTGTTTGTCCCAAAAGATCTCCGAAACGGTAAGAGCTAGAAACACCAAATTTTGCATGGATACTACTGATTTCCTAACTTAAATAACTGGATTGGTTATATCTCAAAATTGGTTCCCCCGGTTTTCTCAGAGCCCCAACTGGGCCCACTGATAATTCCAAAAGATCTCCAAAACAGAAGATCTCCAAAATAGTAAGAGCTAAAAACACCAAATTTGGCATGGATACTACTCATTTCCTAACTTAAATAACTGGATTGGTTATATCTTGAAATCAGTTCTCCTGGTTCCCTTGGAGCCTCAATTGGGACCACTGATAATTCTGAAAGATCTCCGAAACGGTAAGAGCTAGAAACACCAAATTTTGCATGGATACTACTGGTTTCCTAACTTAAATAACTGAATTGGATATATCTCGAAATTGGTTCCTCCGGTTCTCCCAGAGCCCCAATTGAGACCACAGGTAATTCTGAAAGATCTCCAAAACGGTAAGATCTAGAAACACAATATTTTGCACGGATACTCCTGATTTCTTAACTTAAATCACTGGATTGGTTTTATCTCAAAATTGGTTCCCGCCGAACCCCAATTGGGTCCACTGCTAATTAGCTTTTAGTAGCGCCTGATCATAGGCATTTGCTGGACTCTTCTTTTAAGCATGTCACATAAACTGTAACTACAAGATCCAACAGGATAAAGCATGTGGGCACCTACAGCACCATCAAGGGAAAGCCCATGGGGGACAGGCTGCAGTGGGGCAGAGAATCAGCAACCTCCCCTACAACTAGGGCACCAGCAGGTTCCCAGGACAGACCCAAATGTAGCTGTTGCTGTCTGGGGTCTAGCCTTGCTAATTGTGGCTGGAAGAAGCCTCCAACTATCACAGCCTCTCAACATCGTCACGCAGCTGGGCTCCGACTGAACCCCTTTTGGAAATTAAAGTTGCTTCCCTCCCCCCACAACCAAATGAGCCATCCCACCACTCGCCCTTATTTGGGCTTTGTGCGTTCTCCTGGCAGGGCTGTGTGCATTATCAGCAAGTACCACGGGCATTATACACTTTGCAGGATTCAGCTCACAGTACAAAGAGAAGGTGGGTAGGAGGACAAGGTTTTGAGAACTGTGGAGCCTGAGGAGGGCACAGTACACTCAGAACAGCCTATTCTCATTAGAACAGGTATATTCAGGTGCTGCATGTTCTGATCATCTAGATATCACTCAATGCACCTAGTATGAAGGTCTTTCACTTTGTCTGATCAATGCAACCGCTAGGAAGTCCATTCAGGTTGCCCTATGGAGCGTGCACTGAAGGCACTTGGGAAGTGCCTACTTGGGGAGCAGTGATTTTCTGCTGCTGTAGAGCCCAGGAGACATCCCTTCCATTTCTCAGGGCTTCTGGCAAGGAGGCTGCAGGCATTGGTTTTCATAGACTCTTTAATGGAAGATGGGCCTTCCTGTTTTGTGGGGATTGAGAAAAGAGACCCTATGGGATTTGTCATTTTGTAAGCACATCACTAGCTATTTTTATTTCTTAAAATACTATTTCAGAGAAAAGTATTTCTAATAAAATATGCTATGTTAATGTCATTGACTTAGTTCATTCATCACACCTTTTACTAAATTTTGCCCGGGCGACCAGGCAACGCGTGGTATTTCTGCTAGTAAAAAATAAAGTTAGCATTGTACTCTTTGTATTTTGTGTTGTAATTGAAATCAGAATATTTGAAAATGTAGAAAACATCCAAAATATTAAATGAATGGTATTCTAATTCTATTATTGTTTAACAATGTGATTGTTTATACAATTAATCATGATTAAGTATTTTAATCATGCAGTTAATCATGGTTAAATTTTCAATCACTTGACAGTTCTACTGTAAATCAAATAAAAATTTGGCTGACTGTATTTTCAAGAAAATATCCAAAAATAAAATAAGGGACCAGACCTTGCAGGCACAGAATTCTGCTCCTCTTATACAGGTTAATGGCAAAACTTCAGTCAGACTGGCATCAGATTCACTATAAATGTTTATTATAATTTTCCCCAGTAATCTCATACTGGTACTGAGTGCCAGTAATGTAAGACTTTGTTTATAGAGGAAAAAGATGCACTAGGAAGTAGAAATGTTAAAAATCATAATATGGTAACCATGTAATTACTGACAAGACCAGCAGTTACACAGTTAGTTAGCTTTGTACTGCACAGCCTGCAGCAAAGCCTCCCTGAGAAAGGGGCTGACAGCTGATACTGTTAACCCATAAGCATCAGTTTAACAGTTAGTTGTTCATACTCTAACATCCCTACTAGAAAGTGAAAATGTAGCTCCATAACAATAAGTTTATAAGGTTAAAGATTAAACCAAATCCATGCTGATCAAGGAAAAACTGATTGCAAGATCAGCTTTAATTAGTACAGTAGACTTCCGATAATCCGGAACCTATGGGACCTAGGTGGTGCCGGATTATCAAATATGCTGGACTATTAGGAAGTACTATAAGATGGTTATGTATATACTGTATACATTACAGGCAGTCCCCGACTTACGTCGGATCCGCAGTTACGAATGGGGCTCCCCGGAGGACACGGACTGCGGGACCTCGCTGTCCTGCCGCCCGTGTACTCCGGGGCTTTCTCCGCGTCTCCCCGGTCTGCAGACCCGGGAGACGCGCGGGGCTCGGGCAGCGAGGCAGCCCAGGCGCGCCTGGGCTGCTCTGCTGCTGGCTTCCCCGAGGCTTTGCAAAGCACCCCAGCTGCTCTGCCCCAGGCTCACCCCAGCAGCCAGCAGCACCCCAGCTGCTCTAGCCATCTGGACTAATTATGCATTGATCAGGACCAAGACCTGAAAGCTGCAAGAAATTTGGAGGAACATAAATAAAGATAAGATACTGTCACAGGTATTTTTAGCAATATAGGTAGGATCTCTCTGGTCTGGGACTCTCTGGTATGAGAACATCCATGGCAGAATTGTACCCTTAAACATAAAGAATCCTGCTGGACCATGGATATTGCCAGACCAGAGACCCATGGGGCCAGGAGCACAGTCAGGGCTAGCAGCTGGAAGCTGGGCAGGGGCACAGTTAAGGGCTAACACCAGGAGCAGGGCTGGGAGTGTGGCCAGTGCTGGTGACTGGGAGCACCGTTGGCAGGTGGGAGGGAGCCCAGCACTAAGGAGTGACAAATGGTGTTCTGTTCAGCTGCTGCTGCTGTTACCTTGTGACTCATTTTTTGCCGAAGCTCACTCACGAGGCTCTTGTCATTTTGATGCCGGACTATCAGGAGTGCCAGACTATTGGATGCCAGACTATTGGAGTTTTACTGTATAATGGAAGAGTGCTATATGGCATGGAGAGGGCCTTAGGGATGGTGAATCATTGTTTGTGGGTGGATTGATGAGGCTAAATAATACACATGCATTTTAAATATACTCAAATAATGCATGGTTCTGCTACTGTGCTTCATAGTGGATGTGGTAAAAACACCTGAATATTTTAAAGCAAGATTAGATTTACCACATGATCAACAAAAGATATATAGCACAGGCAACTGGAAAGGTCATTTACATCACTTCAGTAACCTTGTGTAACCACCTGTGGGTTGCTCCACAGCCCAGACTAACCAGAGCAGAGGATGCTCTGGCCTAACCACTTTCATCTCCAGTGAGTCTGGGCACAAACTCACATTAAGGTGTTCCACAAGTTCTACACAGGCAGAGGAACATCTTTATGCAAAGTATTCCCCTTGCATGCAGTTCTGTCGTCTTCATGCTACCAGGGGGACAGAATCAAGTTTCTAACATGAGAATGAGATTAGAATTTAATGGAAAGTATTATCCCATACTTTTTGTTCCTTTACTGAAAAGTAGTCATAGACACTAATGCAACGTGAGTTGAGGCAGCATATTTTTTGCATTTTCATGCAATGGTTAAATTAGGATTCGGAATTAACTTAACCTTGTTAAAGCTCTCTAAATAATGTATACATGCAAAAGTATATAAAAACTCACTTTGATATCATGAAACAGAGACTTCCCGTATCTCTCTTTGTATCGTTGTCTTATATTCATCAGATCTATTTCACTTCTGGAAATCAGAATCCTGATAATAGTTTTATTATGAAAACCAAACTCCTAAAAGAGGAGAAAAATATGGAGAAACTTGGCTGAGTCTGGCTATCTAAATATGTTAATATTATGTGCAGATGAACAAATTAATTAGGCCATCAAGATATGTATTTTGGCTTTGAGAGAAGTATGAAGTATACAGAGATTTTACTGTACTGAGCTTTCCCATGTAAGAACAGTATATTTCATATTACTGTGTAACAGAGATAACAAAATCTGTACTTTACACACCATATCAAATTTTTCTTATTAATGAAAAGTATGCCCTACTTTTTTAAAACATGTGCTTAAGTGCTTTGCTGAATCCAGGCCTCAGTCACTAGCCTTTTTTGTGTGGACTGCCAACAAGAATGCCAGGTGGGGAGGTTGCTTTTTATGATGTGTAATTTGCCCACTTTAGACTGGACTAAGACCACCATCCTTTTTCACACAGGTTGCTGATCAACCATCTGATTCTAACCAAAGGTTTAAAACTCTTATGCTTTGTAGCCAACCATGAATCACATGAGCTGTTCAGTTTCTCAGATAGATTCTTCATGGAGGATCTCTGGTGAGAAAATGGGTGAGGTAGTATATTTTATTGCACCAGTTTCAATTGGTGAGCTTTTAAGCTTACACATAACACTTCTTCAGGATACTTCTGGAGGAATGGTGACATCTAGTGGAAAGTAACATTAATCCAAATAGTTTTTCATTGAAGGTTGCAGGGGAAATATTTACTTACAAATATTGCCCTATTTAAAGATGGCAGTTTGAGTTAGTTATTCACACTAGAATGCACTAGAATAAAGTAGGATACACTACTAGTGGGTGCACTAAAACCTTTCTAACAACCCATTGTAGATTTTATGCAAACCATAGTTCTAAATATTAGGATCTTTCTTACCAAACTGATGCTAATTATGCAATATTCTAAAGAGATATCTGACAAAAGTTTGACACAGTCTGATTGACTGATGCATTCTGGAATTGAATATTCTTTAAAATTCCTGGTACTAGCAACATGTCATCAAATAAAGCATGTCATTGACACCAATCACTAGCACTAGCGTGAAACTAAGAAGTTTACTATAAATTTATTTTCAATTTTCTGAAACGTTATGTAATGTATTTCCTCAAAAATAAAATCTGATTTTGAAAAGAAGAAATAATTACAAAATGCTACACTTCCCTCAAAAATAATCCTGGTTTAGTATAACAAATTTGTGACAATGTAATTAATTTTAAATTTGAAACAATAGGAAATATTCAGATTCTGAACATTGTAATTTTTTATGAATACTTTATATGAATTTGTATGAATGTACATCACCAGCATACAATAAAAGTGTGCTTTGAGTTTTGCACACCAGGGGGAGATGCAGTCCTTACAAAATGATGGTTTTCAGTTTTCAAAAAGTCAATGCAGTTACTGAACAAGTAGTGTTAAAAGAATTTAAAAGTGAAACTTCTGTTTTCACAGGAAAAACTCGGCATTGCTCAAGCACTATAGCTTTGAAATTGATAGTGGAAGTGATCAAAATTCAAACCCCTTTAAAGTAAATGAGCTAAATCATTCAAAATAGAAATAGTAAAACTGTTCTTTAAAACTTATGAAAGAATAGTGTTACTTACATGGATTGCATTGTAGAGCCTATACGCAAAATAGGAAGGCTTATCTCGAACACAAAGAACTAGGAAAGATATATTATGGAGAAAAGAAGAAATATTAAAGCCTTCCAGAAACTGTTTAGCATATTTATGATATATGCTTATAAATATTTTAGATGCCTGAAAGTATGTTCAGTTGCTTTTCCTGTCACTAGATAGGGAAATATTGTACACAGGTGATATGTGATCCACTGCCCCCATTCACTGAAGTTAGCCCTCTGCCCCTTTCTTTCTGCCAAGGCCCTATCCCCCATTCTGTTCTCCCCTGCTGTTGTCTGCCAGGTCCGTAGGAACCTTGAGTCCTCCACCACCATTGGATGGACCCCAGCTGGCTCACCCAACCACCCTGAACTCCAGCCTGAATGTCTGAGCCACCTCTAGTCCACAAGACTGCCAATCTGAACTGCTCCAAAGCCCCAGCTTCCTTGATGAGCTCTGAGTTCCACCCAGGGCTAGCCCCAGGCCATGATGGGAAGCAGTAACAGAAGTTGGAGGAAACTTAGCCTCTCACAGCCTTCAATAAGTGTCACCCTTGATTGTCATTATTTTACAGATGGGGAAACCGAGACACAGAGAACTTAGGAGCTTGATCCTAAGTTGAAGTTCAGGCAGTTTTGCCTTTTTGTGTCAGTGTGAGCAGGATCAGTGTCCAATAGACTTGCCCATGATCACATAGCAAAACTAGAAGCAGAATCCAGTTCTCCTCAGCCCTAATCTAGTGATTCACATTTTTACTTTTAGCCTGGACCTACGACACAATTCAAATGCTTCTTGTTGTTTATAGCCTTGGATTTGTTGGGTGATTTTCTTCCAAATGTTCAAAATTTCTGCAACAATATGAAAATAAACTAGTGGGGAAAATAACACAAAAAGCTTATATTTGCAACTTGTAATGGACCAGATATACCATACTGTATTAAGAAATTATTATTGGTTTAAACTAATTTTACCTATTGCTACCAGTAGTTCTTGCAAGTATCCATCATAACATTCATTAATAGCATCCACTATATCTTGTCCAGAGACATTCTGGAACTCCTGAAAAACTTGAAAGAAATGAATATATGTTTACTTAAACTATTCCCAGTAGTTTTATTACTATTTACTTTTGAGACTTCAAGGTGAAACTTAATCTGAAATAGATTGTGACAGAGTCTCAACTCAATACTCAGAACAAAGCATCTGGAGAGCTGCCTTAGAAGGACAACTGGCAATTTCTTGGCATGGGAGGAGTATAGTCAAGTGTTTGCTAACCCTATCCCCTATGAGATGGACTGGGGTTAGGAGTATGTTCTTGCTTATTCCTGTTGTTGTAACAACCTCCAGGAAAGCATTACAATCTGAAGTAAGTTAGATCAACAGCAACCTTTATGCTATAAATGTGTCTCTGGAGAATAACAATTCCATTTTGAGAATTTTTTTCATTGCACACTGAAACAAAGCTAAAACCTTTTGAACATTTTCACAAAATGCATCTGTGTCTATATGTCCATTCTTAAATTGAGACAGTGAGGTTTTCGATTCATCTTGCTCTTTCTACACATGCATAATGGGAGTCTGCACTGAAGCCTTCCTACAGAATATATCAAAATGGACGTTTCTGCAAAATGTTTTGAAAAAATATGTTTAATCAAAACTTTTCCAACCAACTTTATTAAGCAGCTACTACTTGTTTGGTTGGCTTTTGGGAGGGAGAGGGGTTATTTGGCCTTGGGATGCCCCCCAACACTGGGAAAAATGGAAAAGTGGCTTCAATGCACTTTTGACTCTCTCCTACCAGATGAACTGAGTGTGAACTTTAGGGATGCCAGAACAATTTTTATAGTGGGGCACTGACAATGGAAACCATGTATTTGGTGTTTGTTGTTGTTATTTTAAGCCAGGGGTGCGGCAGCACGCCCTACACCCATATTTCCTGTAGTACAGCTACAGACTGAGCCCATCATCTTAAACTGTTCTTTCTATGATGCATTTTTGGGTATGCCTGCATTGCATTCCTCCTTTGAGAGAGGAATGCAAATGCAGACAAACGAAATTGCAAATGAAGTGTAGATTTGAATTTCCCATGCTTCATTTGCATAATCGTGGCTGGCTGCTTTTCCGGAATACTGTATTTAGAGAAAAAAAGGGTTATTTTAGAAAGAAACCCTTCCTTCGAAATTACCCTTACTCCTTAAAAAATGAGGCTTAAGGGTTATTTCAAAGGAAGGGTTTCTTTTTGAAATAATCCCGTGTGGACCGCGTTTTTTTTCTTGAAAAAGTGGCCGGCCATGATTATGCAAATGAACCACGGGAAATTAAAATCTGTGCTTCATTTGCAATTTCGTTTGTCTGCACTTGTATTCCTCTCTCGAAGGAGGAATGCAATGCAGACATACCCTTTGTGACTCTCTATTCCACACTGGGTTCAGCTTTGTTTGTATTTCTTGTACACCACAAACTTCCATTAACTTCAGTTGGAGTTTTGGGAGTTCAAAGAATGCAGGCTTAGGCTCCTGTTTCAGACTGCTTGGAACCTGAGTACTGGTCTGTGAATTCAACTTCTGTGTTGAATTATTCAACAATTATGCCTGTTTTCTCTGGAAGCTATAGTTTCCCTTTCCATTATACATTCAAATACTGAATAGTTTGATTCATAAGTGACAATAATTACCCATCCATAACTGCTGGTAACTCTTGTTACATAGGATCATTTGCAGCATATTTTTGTGTTCCCCCGTTTTCTGCTGACATGCTTCCCATAGGACCTAATGCATTAAAATAATAACAAGGTGCAAAAGATCATCGGTCCCAAACCCCTTAAAACAAGACTTTCAAATAGACACATTTTTGGTTTTTGTAATTTTTGAGAAACTGATAGCTGATTGCCGTTACCATTGCATCCTGAGCAGCCATGGCAGGATCTGCATACCCTTCCTCCCGTGTTCCCTGTAAAACATTAAAACATTTCCCTCTATTAGCTAGTCTATAAAGTCAGCAAGAGAGTGAGATGGTCTTCATATAATACTATTTCTCATTCACTGAGATATCCATTCCAACATTTTACACAAGAACAGTGTGTGATAGAGCTGGTCTATATAGCCCTAAAATATTCTAGAGGTGCCATTGGGAATTGCTATAGCATCTCTGCAAAGACTATTCCCAGAGGCTAGGTCTACACTAGGGGATAAATTCAAATTAAGATATGCAACTCCAGCTTCGTTAATTACGTAACTGGAGTCCAAGTATCTTAAATTGAATTTTGGTGCTGTTCACACAATGGGAGGTCAATAGGAGCACACTCTCCCTTCAACTTTTCTTATTCTCATAGGAACTGGACTATCAGCATTGACAGGAGCACCCTCTCAGTTTGAATTAGTGGGTCTTTACTAGATGACATACCTGTTTATAAAGTTATAATATCTGGTTATGATGTAGGAAATGTACAAATTACATGTTTGTGTTCCCAGTTTATTGTCCACTGATATGTTCATATAAATTTGCTACTTTTCAAAAGGAAAAAAACACATTTTTTTTTCTCACTGTTCAAATTGCAATATCAAATAGTGATCAATTTGTTTTACACTGCATATTATCATCACCATCTATAATGAAAATTCAAGATTGAGAAGTTGTCTGACAATTTTGAGATTATATGAGCCAAAAGAGAATTCAGCTGATTCTCCCATAACTCTTTTGGCTTTGCAGTTCTGTTAACCATGGAGATATGATTTAATATATTCACTAAGATCAGATATATTTAGTTGTGATCAGATATATTTAGTTGTAACAAAAGAAAAGTATTTTAGAATAACTTTAAAATCATAATTACAGTGTAAGGATACAAATAAGCCCAGGTTGCAGGAGTCATAATTCTCAGACAGCACTTAATCATTGCCTTAATGATATGTTTTTGAAACAATTTACTTTAGTTTGGAGTTGACAATCATTCTGCTACAAAAGTGAAAGTAAGAATTAAAATTATAAATTGTCTGCTAACTACTGGCATGACCACTATTTAACTCTTGCCTGGGAAATATGCTAATTCACATTTTAATTAAATTGCATAGAATATGAACAGAACAAAGAATGAAGTTCTTAGTGACAAGATAAATTGCTTAAAGGAAATTATGCTGGATTGACTATAATTGAATACATGAAACTGGAGAAATATGACAAGTGGACAATAAAAATTGAGCAGAAGCACTCTACATAAACTCAAAACCCTAGTTACATTTTAAAATTACTATTTTTGACATTGTTTGATCAGATAATCCTACAAATTGTATAAATGTTCTTATATTTAAATTCCAGAAAATGATGGTATTTTACCTATGCCAAAACCTGGGGGAAAATAAATCAGCTCTTCATGTCATATTAAACGTCTGGATAATTATAATTCAATCCAAGTACATTACATTAATTAGGACATAATAAGCCTTCCAAAAGCCTGCCTCTCTGAAGGAATTTGCCACTACACATTGATTTGTGAGGGATGCACATAGGCTTTTCCCTTCCGGAAAAGTATTAGAGGTCTCAGTATTGTAATTATGGTACTTGGTGAATTGCTGCTGCTGCTAAGAGTCCCATTGACCCATATTATGAATGCCTGTGTTGTATCAATTGTGGGATCAAGGCCCACAAATTTAATAGAGTATAAACCAATATGACTATATAGTAAACACTCAAAAATAATAGAAACTGTTCAAACAGAAGGACCTCATTTCTATAAGTTACATAGAAATAGGTAGAAAGAATCTAATTTTCTATTTTAATCTATAACATTATCCAGTTTATTCTACAAGACTATTCAAAAAAGAAAGTATAAAAAGAATACAATTTTTTATTAGTAAAATCTGACTTTTCTACAGTTGTTTTTTATTAACATACTAGAATATTTACCCAGTGTTGTATAGCAACATACGAATCAGGGGAGGAGGGAGCTTCCGGCCCTCTGCCCTCCTTAAATGGTAGCTGAAAGGTGGGAGTCTTGGCTAGGGATGGGGAGGAAGGATTCAGTATGCAGGCTGCCCCAGAGAGAGAGGACCATCCCAGCCCACTCTCACCACAGCAACTTGAGGCATGGTGAGAAGCGTCTGTCCATGGCTGCTGCAGCTCTAGCAGGCACAGATGGGGGAGGGCTGAATGTCCTGTGGCTGGGTCAGATCCAGGTTCATCTGCCCCATGTTCCCCAGCCATAGTGAGGAATGCAGCAAACTTGCGCTTTTCCCTCACTTCCTGATGAAGGGAAATAGCCAGCAATGTTCCCATATGCATTGGGGGGGGGGAGGGGGGGAGAGGGGGAAGCTTCAGCTCCCCCCCACTCCTGTACTAAAGGGCACATGGGTAGTGGGAGGCTTGCAGCTGGGGCAGTTCTGGATGGGTGTGTGTATGCCTCCTGCCAGCCCTTTTTACTTGCCTGGTGATTCCATCTCTTTTCTGTATGGTTTTATGAGAAGCAATCCTTTTCAGTGCACATCCCTTTGTCCTGGCACAACCAAACCCTTACCTTGCTTTAAGTTATGATGAGAGCCAAATTTGGTGGCTTACTTACTGTTAGGAGAGGCCACTAAATTACTGTTTGGAGGGGTCTGTTGACCAGACAGACAGAAGATAGAGAAAATTTCTCAAATATATAGTAGATATAAAGTAATATTTATATATAGGTAACAATTAGACACTTATAAAGAAGTACAGTATGAAACAGTGCTGTTGGAAGTTCTCCAGAGCTCTTTTTAAGCTCCATAATATGCATAGTCTATCCATGGCCCCATGAAGTCAATGAGACCTCTTCATCAGCTTCCTCCTGCTCTGGTTACAGTAGCCATCTACAGCACCAGGAGCATGCTGGTCAGGGAGTTACTCTGTGACCATGGGGCCTACTGTCATTCCTCCCTTGTCTCACACATCAGGGCAGAGTTCCTATGGACTGCATCCATTGGTTCCCTAGACAGCTTTGAGGAGACGTGTGCACTGTCTGGGGTTCTCTTCTCCGTGTCTGCCTCAGGATCCCTAATTTTGAACCTGTGATCTCCACTGCCAACCCTGTTATTCTTTAGTTGCTCCCTGTACTCATTTGGATCTTGGGTCCATGGTTCCTCCCACAAGATGCCCGCTTGCCTCCTGGAGCTTCCAATAAGATGGAACTGTGAGCATAGATGTGTACTTGGTACGATTCACCTTTCTTCCTGACACTTCCCCGTTCTGTGGCATGAAGGAGACCCTGGTGTACATCTATTGTGGGTGTGCCAGCCTACAGCTGCTTTTCTGGCTCCTCCAGAACCGTTTCCTAAGGTTATGGTGGCACTTTTCTCTGCGCCTCCTTATTTATGCACACTCCATCTGTGGCCCCAAAAAGTCATGAGACCTCCTCATCAGCTTCTGGCATTGGCCAAGGTGATCATCTACCCTATCAAGACGAGGATGCTGGATAGGGAGGTGCTCTGCAACTGTGGGGCTTATTTCCATGCCTCTCTTAGCTCATGTATCTGAGCAGACTTCCTCTGGGCCTTGTCCAGTGGCTCTCTCAGGTTACCTTTGCAGAGCATTAGGTGCTGTCTGGGGTTCTCTGCTCAGTGTCTTCTTTTGATTCCTTGCTTTTTAAATGTAGTAAAAGGTAGAGGCTCAATGGGGGCTGCCAGCTAACCCTGCTGAGGCTCTGCAGTTTCCCCGTTATAGACTAATCAGGTAGTTGATGGAAATTCCATTGACTACTCAAGTAGCTGATTAAACGCAATTTAACATCCTTAATGCTGAGCTCTCAGTTCTACCAGCACTGCTGCAGCAGCCTATGGTCCCGTCACTGGGGCTTCCAGCCCACCATCACTGACCAAAGCCCTGCCAGGGCTGACCTGGGGTTCCCACCTCTGCCAGACCGGCTGGGGGGCTCCCACCCCCACCACAGCTGAATGCTGCTCTACTGCGGGGGCTCCTGGAGTCTGCTGGTAGTCTAGCCACCCTGCCGCCAGCTCAGCTGGACTCCTGCGGCAGGGTTCCGGCTGACTGTCCTCCTCCAGCCAGCCCAATTCCTGCCTCTGCCCCTCCATCAGGACTGTCTGGTCCAGCAACATCTTTGGTCCTCTTGGACAATGGATATTGCCAGACCAGAGAGTCCCAGTTTAGAGATGTTCAGCATGTACAAAAGTACATGTAGATTTCTGTCAATGTATCTATTACTTTTGACCCAATTATAAAAGTTCATGATTTAAAATTGTAATGCTAAACATATTTAGAAGTTTAAGGTGGAATAATTCCTAAAACACAAACAAAATGAATGTAGCCTCTAGCATGAAGGCATCTTTCTCCTCTGTGTCTTCCTGATAACATTATTTATTGTCCTTGTTTCTCTTCTTCCCCTTGTCTTATGGCATAATATTTTAAGGTTTGATTCTGTAAAGAGTTGAGTACCAATTTGGAATGGCTGGGAACTTCTTAATTCAGTGAGAATTGAGCATATTTTAAGAAAAAGCACTCAAACTCTTTACAAAATCAAGAAGTTTGTAAATAAAATTGACACTCCACGAGGTACCATCACAATGTAAACACCATGTTGTTTGGCAGATTTCTTCAGCACAAAGAACATGCATTAAAAAAACAAAACAGAAAGAATATAAGATCTGTTTAGTAATTTCTTGCATCAGATATTTCTCCAGTTTTATATACAAACTGTATTATGATATACAAACTGTATTATGGATAGTGCACCACATTAATGAAGAAAAATGGAAATTGTGAAAAAAATCTTATTTGGATATGAAGATAGTCTCTATTCTGAGCACAGATTCAGAAGCAGGCATTTTTAGATTCTCATTTAATGAAAATCTCAATTGACCTATTGTTGCATTCAAAAAGTCAGAGCGAATGAAGGAATTCAAATTTTAACTTTTTCCCTTTTTTCTACTTCTTCAGAAATGTAACTTTTTAACCATATTCAGCATGGATTAATTTTAACTGTAGCCTACTTTGAACAATAACTTTGAACAATATCAGAAGATAAATAAAAAAACCCATATTTTTAGTTTGTACAGTACCTGAGCAAGGTTCATAAGTGTGTCTCTGAAATGGCCCGAAGTCTCAGAATAAATGTCTTGTTGAAGATCATTGTTATATTCTGGAGTGCAAACCACAACAAACTTGTTTTAAACATGTAATTTGGAGAACATACAAACATTCTCAGAATATGTTAGAGAAGATTTTCAAACAGCGGTGAGTAACTAGAATAAAAATATATTCAGTATATTGACATTTGTCAATTTTTAACACTTTTCATTCTGCAATTAGCAATAAATGGGACTAATCATGTGAGACAGATTTTAAAAAGGGATTTTCACAAGAGTTCAAGCAGCTTAGGCACCTAATTCACCACACTTACTTATGCACTTTTGAAAATCCCATGAAGTGCCTATCTGCATCTTTAGATACCTAAACGCTTAAAATCTGGTCTGTAGTCCCCACTGCTAGCAAGAACATCAGTAACTTTAATAGGGTGTTATCTAAATAATGATTGTCTATTCAGGCCTATGATCCCAATTAGCATAAGATTGTTGAAATAGCTCTAAGATAGAGAACATACAAATAACCCCTCCAAAACACACCCACCCACCCCTCATTTTCTTTGATCTTCCTCCAAAAGTTATAGTTCAAAAATAACAGTCTATGTGCTAAAAGACATTTCGAAGATCACAGAATCCTGTATGTCAGAATTGCATCCTTGCTACCAAATACTTAAATAAAATAAAATAAAATAAAATAATACGCATTAAGTAGGCTTCTTTCATTTGGAATATCTCCCCATTAGATCTTGAGGCTAATATATCAATTAGACAGTTCTCTTCCATGTCTGCTCCCTGCAAGAAAAAACATTTCAAACAAGTATGGTCATTACTTGTAGAGATAATGATTTTCAGTACACTGCATTATATTTGTCAAGGACAGTGAAAGAATGCAAGTCTCTGTTAGAGAAGTTCATGGTTTATTTCACGAGGATTAATGGTAGTTCGAACTAGGCTTCCTAGTTCGAATTACCTAGTTCGAGCCCCGTGTAGCCGCGCTACACGGGGTTCAAACTAGCGGGGATTTAAAAATGGCGGCTCCCCGCTTATGCAAATGAAGCCCGGGAAATTCAAATCCCGGGCTTCATTTGCAATTTTGGTATGCCTACATTACCCTCCTATTTCGAATTAGGAGGGTAGTGTAGACATACCCATTGGAATTACAGTTCATCCACAAATTCAATTCACATGCTAATGGACTCAATCGTGATGAAAGTTGGTTGGGACACTACCAACTTAACAGCCATTGAAGATGCAAACAGCTCAGAAGGATACTATCTATTAACTTTGATTCTTATCTGCTTCATTTTAATTACCCAATCTTCAGATATTTACTGATTCCCTCTGCTCTCTATTCCCACTCCCCTTTCCTTTTTCTTCCCTCCCCCTTTCTCTTCCCCTCTCCTATTTATTTTGGGTATGCACATCCTAAACTCATAACTCCAGTCATCTGAAGAAGTGGGCTGTGCCAACGAAAGCTCATGATATCATCGACATGTTTTGTTAGTCTATAAAGTGCTACCAGACCATTTGTTGTTGTTTTTTCTAATATTGGATGTTTCTTCTCTCTCACTAAACTGAGAAATTCCCTTTTAACAGTTTATCATTCAGTTTTATGTAAAATCCTCTATGAAGCTGAGGGAGTTACTGAAAGCAGTGCCTAAGAGCAATAGTCTAAGTATTTTTCAGTCATACAAGTACCTTCATGGCGTGCCAGAGCTCATGGGCATCATAGGATGCAGGTGGATACATCAGGTCTACCATAACGTCTTTGAAATGATGAGAGAGATTCTCTTTCAGGTCCATAATCAAATCCTTGGGGAAAAAAAGAAAGGATTATTGTAGTACTCATGCTGTGCAATGGACTATTAATCAATGGAAGCATTAACAATAAAAACTAGCAATTTGTTAATAAAAAGATGAGTCCTGCAGGCTGAATTGTGGCTACAGTAAAGTAATAAAAACTCTCCTCAAACCTGTGTATATCTTCGTTGGTAACATGAGCAAAGTCACATAAAGAAAGATAAACAGTATAGCAATGCTTGGTTTCTGGTTAATTAGAACCTAGGTGCAAAAAACACCAATGTTTACAAAATGGAAAAGACTGATGCAGATAAGGAAAGAGAAAATTTTAAAAGGGTCTTCAATCTGCTTTGAAACTTTCTCCCTCAACATATGCAAATATTTATGAACCCAGACCCTCATTTCTATTTTGACAAATCAGCATTTTCTGATTAAAATAAACCTTTCCTTCAAAATTCCTTTAGTCATATATCTGTGCTTATTTTTCCTATTCTCCAGCAACCTTCCTCTTCTACACTTTGTGAATATTAGTATTACAGTAGACTTCCAATAATCCAGAACCTTTGGGACCTCGGTGGTGCCGGATTATAGGATATGCCGGTCTATCAGGAGGTACTATAAACTGGTTCTATATATACTATATACATTATATACTGTATATAAAGTGTTCTTAACCATTTTTATTGTACATACTGTATACAGTATACTGTGATGTTTTAGTTTTTTTAACCCTTTTTTACCCTTTTCGCTCGGGTCAGCTGCTGCCGCTGTTGCCTTGTGACTCATTTTTTGCCAAAGCTCACTCACTAGGTTCTTGCCATTTTGATGCCGGACTATCAGGAGTGCCGTACAATTGGATGCCGGACTATTGGAGTTTTACTGTATTTAGTAAATTTGTCCACTTACATTCATCACATTTGCTGGATTTTTTTTTCTTTTGGCTACCAGCATACAGTTCTGTTAAATTTAATTATACTTATGGTAAGCTTTAAGTAGCAAATTTTAATTTTAATAATGCACATGGAGCTGTGATATACATTGGAAAATAAAAACATTTCTGCCTATTGTGAAATATCCATGGTTATACTTCTTGGGGCATAACCTCAGTTAAGAATCTTCCCCATTGAAACTACTTATAAAGTTTGCAGATGATACTAAGATGATAGGGAGTTCCAAGTGCTTTGGAGGATAGGATTATAATTCAAAATTTTCTAGACAAACTGGAGAAATGATCTGAGGAAAAAGGATGAAATTCAGTAAGGACAAATGCAAAGTATTCTGTTTAGGATGGAACAATGAGTATTACACATACAAAATGGGACATGGTTGCCTAGGAAACATCCTATTCCTCTGATCAGCTCTTTGATGTAGAATCAGCTCTATTCAGACTATTCCTACTGGATCAGGCTTTGCAGATGAGATGGGCAGGAGATCATTTATTTCCTCCTAGTCTGAGGATCAAACTTGGATTTATGCCTGAGATAGGCCAAGATGTCTGCCTATGGCAGAAGATTTGACATGTAGGGAGTTTTTACATATAGGCAGTGATCTTTGCCTCCAACTGAGTGAGGGTTCTGTGGGTTGCAATAGTGCCTAAATCTTGAAATCAGTGGAAGTTGGGAGTCTAAATGCCCTGGAGGACCTGGCCCAGAGTCCTAATGACTAGAGCTTGGATTTGAATTAGTGATCAAATGGATTCCAATCCCATAAACCAGTCAATCCCCCCAATGTATATCTTATTTCAGTTCCAAGATAGAAACTCTGCTTTTGATGGACTAAACCAAAACTACTAAGAGTGTTTCTTTCAATGCAGCTTGACTTAAATGCTTTGTGCATTGGTGAAGATTTTTGTTACTAAGGGATCCTTAGGGATGGTGGGAAAATTATAACTGAAAATATGAACACAGTTAATTCAAAAGCCTCTCTATCTGTCAGAAGGAGAATAATTAAAGATAACTATAGGATATCTAAGTATAATCACTTTGGTAAACAGAAGCAATGATGAAGGAGACATACAAATTAAAAATGAATTTATGATGAAGAAGCAATATGTAATCTTCCTTGAACGTGCATTAGACACATTTGACAACTACTAAATCACACATTGAATTGAAATTAATTCATTAAGATATTTTACTGCTGAAAGTATACTTGTGGGAATATGTATTAATAATACAAATGGAGACTAATTAAAAATTACCCCCTGCAAATCAAAACCACAGAAGAATGATGAGAGAATGAAAAGTAAGAAAATACAAATCTCCATTTTCATTCTTAACATTTTCCAATTGTCTGTATGAAAAATTCTTAAAGGGCAATTGTGAGAAAGAGTCTCCTGGCACCTGGCATTGGCCACTGTCGACAGACAGGTTACTAGACAGGATGAACCTTTGGTCTGACCCAGTATGGCCATTCTTATGTTCTTATGTTCAGATTTGTGGACATGTCTGAATCACACAAAAGGCATTTAACTTCAACATTTGCTTTTATCCATTTTTTGCTTTAAGTATGCCCCATTTCCAGATTGTAATTCATATTCGTATCAACACAAACAGGTTCCAGTTGAAAGCGTAATAGTGAACATGTTAAAAATTGATCAGGACAGATGTCTAAACATGTTAAGTCAATATATCTATACAGTGGCTGGTTAGGATGAATTTTTAAAAATCAAAACAAAATATTAAAGCTGAACATGTCCCAGGAGAAAGAGCTAGAAGCCTGAGAGATGGGGTGAGGAAGAGAAAGGGAGAATATGGAGAAGCAGATCCTTAGCATTTTTGCCTTCTAGCTCAACCAAATAGTAATTAATACCTGACCCTCATTTCCATATCACTATATAAAAGCATAAAGGCATAAAGACTTTTGGAAAGGTTAGCAAGATGCACCTACAAAGTGATTGATGCACCAAACATTTTATGTTATTAAAATGATAGTTTCAGTTGCAGGTAATATTCAGAAAAATGTCAGAGCAGCAGTTTATGAACAGAAATGCTGTTTATAGGGTTTTGACTGTAGACTGTACACATACTTGAGATGAGAGAACTTTGATTCAATTAGCTCAGTTTCTTAATAAAATACAATTAAAACTTGTTATAGTGTCTACAACATATTTGATTTTTTTAAACAGTCATCTCAACCCCAAACATAACTGGTACAGCAGAAATAATTTAACCTCAATTACCAACTATTTCTACATACACTTTCAGAGATCACTAGTTTTCACTAGACTTAAGGTGCCTCTACACTGTGGGCTTAATTTGAAACAAGTTACATAAATTGAGCTACATTAATTGCCTACCTTATTTTGAAATAGCTTATTTTGAAATAGGGAGTATCTACATAGCACTTATTTTGAAATAGAGCCCTCTTCCTCCGACTTCTCTTATTCCTTGTACAAATGAGGCTGTGTCTACACTGGGCCACTTATTCTGGAAAATCAGCCGCTTTTCCGGAATAAGCTGTGAGCTGTCTACACTGGCCCTTGAATTTCCGGAAAAGCAACGATGCTCTACTGTACAAAATCAGCTGCTATTCTGGAATAACTATTCTGCTCCCGCTCGAGCATAAGTCCTTATTCTGGAACACTGTTCCGGAAAAGGGCCAGTGTAGACAGCCCAGTAGTCTTTTCCGGAAAAAAGCCCCGATCGCGAAAATGGCATTCGGGGCTCTTTTCCGGAAAAGCGCGTCTACATTGGCCACAGACGCTTTTCCGGAAAAAGGGCTTTTCCGGAAAAGCAGCCTGCCAATGTAGACGCTCCTTTTCTGGAAAAACTGAAAACGGAATAGTATTCCGTTTTAAGCATTTCCGGAAATTCATGCCAGTGTAGACACAGCCTGAGGGTAACAGGAGTTGGAGTAAGAAGTCCTTCAGCTTGACAGTATTTTGACATTATTTCAAAATAACTGCTTGCTTTGTAGACGCAGACTTAAGTTATTTCAGAATATCGCTAGTTATTTTGAAATAGTGTTGCCATGTAGACATACCCTTAAAGAGGGAATTTCCTTTAACCGTATAGTAGTGTTGGCAGAAGCTAGCTCTTTAATGGCAGCTTCTAAAGACTTTCCTAGAGAGGCAAGATAGCCTGTTGGTTAAGGAGGCAGCCTAAGACTGAAGAGATCCAGGTTCTATCACAGATGTTCTAAGCGAGTTTGTATAAGTGTTTGTATTTTTTTTTCCTTTTGGTAAAGGGGGATAACAACACTTCCCTACTTCACAGGGATGTTGTGAATATAGTCAAATTAAAGACTATGAAGTACTCTGATACTATGGTGAAAAAAAGCATAAAGCAATTATGATATCTTAACTAATAGAATTAACTTCTTATGGATAGACTGATGTGCTACTACTTTCAATTAAATGTAAACAGAACAGCAGAAGTTTAAAAGGTGAGATGAGCTATGTCTTAGTTGTAGTTATTTATTCATTTTTATTTATAACATAAAACCCACTATTTAGTTTAAAACTATAAAAATCCAAACAAAATCAGCTGTCCCTTCTCTCCCTGCAAACCAAAAAATAACTAGCTAAACATGAAAATAAAGTTTGATCAGTACTCCCCTTTAACCCATTAATACCAGCCCTCTTTCTGCACCTCCATCCCTTCATTGTCTCAGAAAACAGGTTGGGGCTATTTTGGATCAGGGAGGGAATTAATTCAAAAGTTAAGATCTGCTTATAGAGAACAGTCCCCCAGAAGTCCCCTTATACCTGAAAAGCTCAATTATAAGTATCAAGACACTTCCCAAGGAGCATCTCTTTTCTCAAGGTTTGGGGAGCTAGTAGACTAAGGGTACATCTAGACTACATGCCTCTGGCGACAGAGGCATGTAGATTAGGCTACCCGACAGAGTAAAATGAAGTGGCGATTTAAATAATCGCCGCTTCATTTAAATTTACATGGCTGCCGCGTTGAGCCGACAAACAGCTGATCAGCTGTTTGTCGGCTCAGCGCGATAGTCTGGACGCTCCCCTGCCGACATCAAAGGGAGTTGTCGACAACCCAGGTATGCCTCCTGGGATGAGGCATACCTGGGTTTGTCCACAGCTCCCTTTGATGTCGGCAGGGGAGCGTCCAGACTATCGCGCTGAGCCGACAAACAGCTGATCAGCTGTTTGTCGGCTCAACGCGGCAGCCATGTAAATTTAAATGAAGCGGCGATTATTTAAATCGCCACTTCATTTTACTCTGTCGGGTAGCCTAATCTACATGCCTCTGTTGGCAGAGGCATGTAGTCTAGACGTACCCTAAGAGGCAATGGATGATCTAAAGTTCAGGGAACTTGCATTTAAGTTACTGGACTTATTTCTATCATGGCTGAGGAGAAATCTGCTCAGTTTAATCAGAGCATTTTTCATTAGTAGTGTATTTTTATAAATAAGAAAATCTGACTCTGGCATTGCCCTTTGCATCTATAGATTTCAATGCACTTCACAAAGAAAGTAAGCATTCTTATCCCCATTTTACAAATGGGGTAATGTGCCCAAATGCACCAAACAGGTCAGTTACAGGTCTGGGCACAGAGTCAAGGTCTACTAAGGCTGAGGCCACTGGTCTATCCCCTAAGCAATATTGCCTCCTCTGACAAGTGTAGGAGAGGCTAACGTTCATGGTTGGTTTTAATACATGTGAATAGAATATTAAATTAGAATCTGACCAGGGGAAAAAGCTACTCAAGCTCCTGTCTTCTCATATTTGAAAAGTGTTTGTGTGTGTATGTATCTATATGTTGTGTTGTGTAATGTCACAAAAATTATGCCAGCTCACTTCTGGATGTGGGCAGACCTGTTCTCATATAGGTTCTAAAGCTCTTTACAAACATTATTTGCATATCACCATATCTCTGAGAGGTAACTTATTTCCAATGTAGCAATGAGGATTCAGTGGCTCAAAAAGTTTAAGTAAAATGCCCAACCTGGGGAGAGGGGAAGATAGAGGTATGAACATATGTAAGATCAGCAGAGGAACATAGTAAGTGAACTGTGGGAGAAGAAACTGCCTTCTTAGTTCTTTATGTTTAAGCAGATGTTTAACTTCAACTTTCATATAAATGATATATGATAGTCTATTGATAATTATATAAATTAAGTAGTGGTTGCACCTCCCTAAACCAGGACTCTCTCATCCGTCATCATCTGTGCTCTTGCAGGGCATGGATGTTGCTGAATGAGAAAGCCCTGGGGCAGGAGGGCCAGCAGCTGAGACCCCCATGAAAGGTAAGGCCAATGGTAGTGGGGCCAGGACCTCAGCAGCCTGGTGGTAGTAGCGGGGCCATGGTAGTGGGGCATGGGATCCCAGCATCCCAGCCAAGGCTGGGGCACCCTATGCATATCGACCCAGCAATGGAGTTGTGCAGTGGCAGCCCAAGCGGGGCTGCCTGCTGGCCTGGCAGTAGGGGATTGAGTAGCAGAAGCCTGACTGGCAGTAAGGCTGGGCTATGGCAGCCCAGTACGGGAAGCTTGTCTGGGGCTGTGGCAGCAGAGCTGGGGCTGTAGCAACCCAGCTGGGGCCATAGCAAGGCTGGTGTTACAGCAGTGGGGCCAGGGCTGTGTGCTGCCATGCCGGCAGTGGGGTTGGAGCAGCAGTTATGGCAGCAGGGCTGGGGCAGCTGTGTTACCTGGCCAGCAGTGGGGCTGAAGGAGCTGGCAGCAGGGAGGGATGGCAAGCTGAGGGGGCTGGTGGCAGGGGACCTTCCCTGGTCCCACAGATTTTCTCATCCGGGACTGCTCAGATCCCGAGGATGCTAGACAAGTGAGGTCCAACCTGGAACAGTCGGACAATCAGGTGGTGAAGCAGCTTCATGCTAGAGACTGGGTTCCAGAAATGACCTGAAGAAATGGTCAACAGCCATAAGTATAGGAGAGTTATAAGTGTGGACATAAGCAAAATGTTGTCATCATACCCTGCCATACATGTCCCTGTAAGCTTCTGCAATCATAAGTCTTTGTGCGTTGCAACGCTTTGTTAGAATATCAATCAACAAGTCCTTTTCACAACCTGGAAAAAAAAATAAGACAAAATGCCTAAATTAAACTTTTACTTATATTTATCATTGTTCAGTGAGCGTATGCAAGATACCACATTTTGTTCAAATCCATTTGCCGTATTTCTTGCAGAAAAAACCTCAACAGTTTAATATCAGATCAGCATTTACGAACATCAATAATATTTATCATGTTTGTATACTTTTCACTTGCTAGTGTACTACTGACAAATAGTCAAGAAATCTGTATTATCATCAGATGCATTACCATATTCTCCAGGGGAATGGATTTGAAAACATCAGTAAAATTGGATAAAGGCTTTCATCAAATGAGAGCTAAGCATTCGGGTAAAATTTACAGCTAAGGCTTGAAAGTTGAGTTTGTATGTGACAATGGTGATTAAATTGTCATTTTCATGTTATTGATCTCCTGTAATGGAATGGCTATTTATGGAGGGACCATTGGTTGTAAAATTGCTGAATAAGGTGCTCAGTTAGATAGTGTACAATAAGCTGTTGAAGGATTATTTATTAATACTGATTTCTGAATGATGCATGAGGACCAGGGGTTACTTTGTGGAAGAAGGTTCTCTATAATCATTAACTTGTGACTGGTGATTAGAGTTACCTGCTAAATTTATGCAGTCAGATGGCTGAAACTCAAAAGAAGATAAAAAACATTTTACAATTAATTCACATATTTTGGTTTTATAACCAAAAGATAACTTTAAACAATTTAATATTGTTTGGCCTTTTAATGACATTTCCAGGACAAATTTATTTTAGTTGAAGACGCAACAGATTAATTTAGCTATATGTGTAATTTAATGTATATATTAAAAACAGGAATTACTGCTGCTGAAAACATTACAAAAATGTATTTTCCTATGTAAAAAGGAACAACATGATACTAAGTTCTTGTTTCTATTTTTTGCACAGGGGAAAAATCTTTTTTTAAGCAGAAGTTATTAAGCCAAACATTTACTATTGATAATCTTTGTCTGTGGAGGTGGCCAGGCATGGAGTGGGAGCATAAACAGTTTTGGAATTAGGTAATGAAGGTAATTTGAGAAAGGCCACATTTCAGAATCATTGCAACAAAAACCACAGGTTATTAGCTGTGGAGTGAAATGTTTCTGCTGATTTGCATTTTAGACTTAGTCTTAGACTTTTAATGGCATCAATTTATGGAATGTGATGTTTTCAGTGGTGACAATGTTTGGGCAAGCCTCACAACTTTAAACTGAGCAGTGAAATAAGTCTGATACAGCAACGAAAGAAAAGCCTTGAAAAATGAATCAATCCACTTGAAAAGCTCATGAATACAATAGTGATGCATTCTGTGTAGAAGCCAGATTCTTTGCTGCACCCAGCATCTACAAAGGCGTAGCAGAAATGAGTCACTTGCAACTTCCTGATCATAAGGCTGATCCTACACAGGTCCAAGTCCCAGAATACTTTTGGGCAGACTTTAAACCCTTCACCTATTAGGTGTTTAATTTTCAGAGGCTTTGTTCCATTAACTTCACTATGATTAATCATATGTCTAGTGGTAAATACATGCTTCAATGCTGTGTTGAACTGATGTCTCAAATTCCACTGGCAAGGCTTCCCTGCACAGGAGCCAGCTGGGGATTGGTGGCCTATAGTAACTACTTGCCAAACATCCTTCTGCCCAGGCTTGGAAGGATATGTCGTATACAAGTTCCTCACCAGCTGAGAGCCATAATGTGAGAACTCTTCACACGTGGGAAATTTAATTTTGGGGGCCAGTATGTAGAAGGAATAACAGCAGGGTAATAAATGGAATTATAAAAGTAAAAAATGGGAGAATTAGGGACACACGTAGCTCTTGTCATGTTTCTTGGTTCCTCCTCAGTCACTTTGAGCAATATTTTCATTAATATACATCTCAGCAGCAACAGTAGCAGACCCAACTGGTGCAGCAGCTGGCGAGCCAGTTTCAGGACCAGCAGCAGCAGCTGGGGCGGGAGATCATGGTCCAACACGAGAAATGGATGCAGGGGTTCCCCCCCGCCACCCAGTATCAGGAACAGCAGCAGCAGCTGGTGCGGGAGATCATGGACCAATGACAAACAACCAGGCAGGGCCATGTGACAGATGATCCACCTCTGGGAGGGGAAGAGGACCTGGGGCCCGGCCATAAGCTGCCGATTCGTTTATTGAAGCTGGGACCCAAAGATGATCCTAAAGCCTTTTTGGTAACGTTTGAACGGGTGTCTGTGACAGCCAAGTGGCCGGAGGAGCACTGGGCCACCCTCCTAGCCCAGTTAGCTTATAGGAGTTTGTTGGCAAGGCTCTCTACCTTGGATCTCACCAAGGGGTACTGGCAGATACCCTTGGACCCTGATGCCAGAGAGAAAACAGCCTGCGCGACCCCGTTTGGCCTATGCCACTTCGTCACTATGCCCTTTGGACTCCACGGGGCCACCGCCACCTTTCAGAGTCTGCTGGACCGGATATTACAACAACACTGAATCTATATGGCAGCTTACATATCATCATATTTAGTGATACATGGCTGGAGCACAAGAATCACGTGGAGGCGATACTCTGGACCCATAAGGAGGCAGGGTTGACGGCCAACCCCGAGAAATGTAAGTTCGGACAGAAAGAGGTGACGTACCTAGGCTACACGGTTGGGCGAGGATAGCTAAAACCCCTTGCTGACAAAGTAAGTGCCATACGGGACTACTCAAGACCAAGCACCAAAAGGAAAGTACTCCAATTTCTTGGGCTGGCGGGGTACTACCGCTGGTTTATGGCAAATTTTGCAGCTATAGCAGCCCCCCTGATGGATATGATGTGGAAGGGGCAACCCCAGAAAGTTAAATGGACAGAAGCCAGCTTCGGGGCTTTTCAGACGGCTGGTTAACATGCCTGTATTAGTGCAGCCAGACTTCACAAAACCTTTTGGGGCCAAACGGACGCCTCAGAGTTGGGACTGCGGGCAGTGTTGTCTCAGGAGGTTGGGGGGGCGGAGCACCCTATACTGTATGTAAGCAGAAAACTATTCCCAAGGGAGCGTAATTACGCTACCATTGCGAAAGAAGCCCTGGCTGTGAAATGGGCTATTGAAATACTACATTATTATCTTTTAGGAGACCACTTTGTCCTGGTCACAGATCATGTGCCACTCTGCTGGCTTCAATCTATGAAAGGTACGAATCCCCGGCTGATGCAATGATACGATGCGTGACAGCCTTATCGATTCAAGGTGACCCACTGACCAGGAAGAATCCACCAGAACGCAGACTGGTTATCGTGCCAGGAGGAAAGCAAGAGGAGGGTGAACTTAAGGGGGGAGGTGTGTGACGGGGCAGCAGAGCCCCGCACTTGCAGCCCTTCCCTCCTTATGGAAGACAGGCAGCAGAGCAATGTGGGGCAGAAACCGTCAGCCTGCATGACTAAGCCGGGGCAGCAGAACAGCTCAAGTCCGGTCCCCCTAAATGGGGCTGGAGAGTCCCGAGAGGAGAGGCCCAGTGCATGCTTCAGCGGTGCCACACAAGGGGCCAGCCCCTTCCGGTGTTGCCAGGCAACCGCATGCCACCCCAGTTGACAAAGCTGGCGTGCTTGGGGCTGACTGGGGAGGCGTGGCCAGGCAACGCAGTACGTCCCCTGCGGGCTGTGTGCAGGGTGACGTCAGCAAGGACGCCAAAGGGCGAACTGGAGCTGAGGTGAGGGGAATAAAAGGGAGGCTAGAGGAGACACGGGAGGCGAGGTGGGGACAAAGACGAGGGAGTAGAGGAGAAAAGACAGAGAAAGGAAGAAGGAGTTAAAGAGGGACTAGGACAGGAAAGGTCCAGGGTGTAGGAGACTGCGGACAAAAAGGCGTGGCGTGTCCAGGAAACTGGGAGAGAATGCCAAGAGGGGGAGGAAGCAGCCCAGGGCAGAGCTAGGGAGGTAAGCCTGTGGACTGACGAGTTAAGGGGCAGCACCCTGTCAGTCAGGTTGCAGGGGGAGGCACGGCTACCCCTCTACCTTAGGGCCCTGGGTCGGGGCTCAGAGAAAGAGCGGCCTGAGTCCCCCTTCCCCTCCTCTATTGCCTACCGCCCCAGCCAATTGGAGCAGCATCTGCGGTGACAGCCAGGGGAGTAGCCCTACGAGGCCCGACGGGGCCAATTACTTAAGGACTAGATTAACGAGTACTTTCACAAAAAGTATAATTAAAAGAGCCAGTCAATCCAAAATAAAAGGTATATAAAGGCCTTTCAAACTAAACTGCACTTTCAAATTATATTGACTCAAAACTGTTGCAGGAGAATAGGCAACTGTATACTGAACCCTTGCATAACCAAAAGGTTACAAATGGTATCCACCGAATGTTATCTGTGATCTTTGTAAAATTTTTGTGCAATATCTAGGACAAACCTTAAGAAGAGCTATCCCATCCATAGGACAGTTTGGGATGGCCTCTCCAGGCCCCTCACTTTGTGTAGGCCCTGCTGTGGCCATCCCAAGCATCCTATGGAGGGGACTATCCCCCATATTTAGTTTAGCTCGCAAAACCCAGGGCAGCCTGAAATATTACCTGGGGGGCCTGAAGCTTTGTCTGTGGAGTCGGGCTCCCATGTACTCATTGAGGTGGCGGGAGCCATGGGAAGTGAGTGATGCAGCAGTCTGCTCCATCCTGCCACCATTTCCCAGGCAGGTCACTCCATGCCCCATGCCAAGCCCCCTGGTAATCCCATGGATTGTGTCACTCTGGGGAGTGATCTTGAGGAAGGTGTGTAATGGAGGGAAGAATGTGGAGCAGGAAGAAGCAGGGCAGGGCAGAGTGATGCATGGGTGGGGTGTGGGGAAGGGATAGAGTGGGGGTGGGGCAGAATAGGGGCAGGAAAAGTCAGGCAAGCCCTGGGCCCCCATGCCTCCTAGGGATGGCTCTAACTTTTAGGCCATTTCATTACAAACGTAAATTTTTCTGCATTATTGTGGGAAAGGCATATAACTTTTTAAGGGGGAGACAGGACTAACACAACCATTACAAAGTATT